ACACTAGCGTCACGCTCGTCGAGCCGGTGCTCCAGTCGGGCGATGTAGTCGTCTTTTTTCCTCGACTCGGATATCCGGCGGGCCAGCTCGGTTTCCAGGTCCCGCAACCTGTTCATCACGGACGTACTCATCGCGAGTGCGGGCGGTGTCACACGCGGGTCGGTCGCCAGAGACTGGTGCTGTAAGTCTATATTWTATTTTCGTACCGTCGTTTACACACGTATATCGCGGCGAGTGCTATATTATATTGTGTAGCTGCAGTGTGGTTTCGGACGCGTCAAACCGACTGTCGTACACGCGCGACGGTGCGGTGTTGCGTTTACGTGTTCCGAGCGTATAGTATTATGTGATTTCCCCTCCGCTGTCTCGTTGCGTGTAGACAGCCGCTGCAACACAACCGGGTCAAGGATCTGTAAAACGATGATCGATTTCAATTCCACGCGCGGCGACCGGCCGGCCGCAAGGTCCTCCGGTCGGAACGAGCCGCGAAAACCGGCCGCGGGAGTTACGGCACATAATAGTAATATAATAATATGACAAATCTATGCGGCGTTAAAAATCGATAATATGATCAATAAGGAGTCTATAGTTATACACGGGCAACGACAAGTGGGTGGATGGGTGCGCAAGAGTGTCCGGGGTGACGAAAATTCGTGATACGGGCCTACCGCAATCGCCGAAATGATGATGTTGGCCGTGCGTAATACTATTTTTAAACRGCAAAAAAACACGTTTTACGTAAAATAATAAACTTAAATATTATACTCCATTTCATATGATATACGATAAACGAGCTCGTAAAAAATTAAGTAGATACATATCACGCATATATGTATAGTGTACGTGTTGTATTGTGTGTGTGTGCACGATACAATATACGCACAAAATATAAGTCGTTGAACGACGATTTAACTTCACCATAATTTACGATTTTGGCGTGTCTTTATTTTTTTATTAGTCTTGTTCTTATTATAATATTTATTTTGATCGTTAACGAGCATTTTTACGTGAAGATTATTATCTTCGGGGTCTTGCCGCAGCTCTATATTTAGAAGGGGCTAACTAATATATTATACGTGCACACAAATGCGTGATGACGACGTTATTATTTATTTATATTAGCGATTAGTATCGGATGTAATATCGAACACGTCGATTTATAAAAAAGCTGCACGTCGTTGACAGTTGCACACGTATCTCTTAAAAGAAATACAAGTGAAATGAAGCAGGAGTTCGTGATGAATTTTAGCGGGGCTTGACCGAGCTTTAAGAGGTCTGTGTCCACGGGAACGCGAAATAGGTCATGGAACGGATTAAAGGTACCTAACAGATCGAAGACGTATACCTCTATTCAATAACGCATGACGTATTAAGTTCAGTTGCTACTTAACTGCGATAACGCATCGGTACATCGCAGATATAACGTCTTGTCGTTAACAGGCACGTACACAACAACAAATTCGGTGGGATGGGGAGTTCATACCTACACATAAGTAGAAAATATTTATATTTAGAAATTTTGTGAGTTATAGCTCTGATGTAGATTGCAGACTTCCTATATGCGGATTAATATGGTCTGGACTCTAAATAGATAAAAAGCAGTGGACATATTTATCGAAATTCATGATGAACAGATGAACTCGAGTTATGCGAAAAATCCTTGCTTTGAAAATATTGGAGATTAAAGATTGTAAAAACAGCATAAGTATAGCCGATATTGCTTCGCGTCACTTTCTGGAAAACCACGCGCAATGAGTGCTGTTAACGCTGTTCAKCACAAATGCGATACTCAATTAAATTATCATACAATATAATATTATGATGAATTTTCGATCGGCGACTAGATGAAAACTACCAACGCGGTTGTCTACACCACTACACCGGTGTTTCTTGACGTTTTTACTGCGACAGCCCCCAATAGGTATGAACATTTAGAAACGCTAGTCTATTACACGATATTTTACATTCACGAGTCACGAGTACGTACGCTGTGTGGACAGAGCGGCAAACGACGCCGAAGGAGATATACTCGAGCGGAACGAMTTATTATTTTTTCGGAATATTATGTTTTATTAATATTATTGCTAAAAAAGTTATATACTGATGACGCGACGGTTGACGGACATCGGTTGGACACCGCACATACGTAGATAGACGCTGGAAACGACTGGTGGCGGCGGGCGCGACGATGTCCACAGTCGGTGCCCGGGACGTGACGCGCGATCGCCTCCGCCATCACTCCCACCACGGCAGGAGGTGACGGCAGCCACCTGAGCTTCAAGGTGGGCACCCACGGGCCACGGAGACGCTCGCTTGTCTCCGCCGCCGCCACGCTCGTTTCGTGCGCGCACTACCTCTCTCACACCATCTCACTCTCTACAACTATCCATTTACCTATATATATAATATATATATATATATATATATATACATCACTCTATCTCTGGTAACATTAATTGTTACATACTATACTTAAAGTATAGTATGTAAATAATATATATATATATAAATAAATAAATAAATAAATAGTACATAAATTACACACTATAGAATTGACCTACACATGCATTACTTATTAYTATTAAAGTGACACACGGTATTTACCACCACCAATAGGAGCGAATTCAAATATACTATTTKATTAACAGCCATCTTCAAATATACAGTAAAGTAGGTAGGTATACTAAATAAAACAAAAAAATCAAGATTGTGTAATGTTTAACTTAAATTRATCTTGAATGCAATGTAGCTATTCAATATTTTCTCTAGTGCATTGAAAAACAATGAATCATACGTATATTTATAATTATAATGTCATAATAACAAATTTCAAAATATTTAATTTATAAAGATGAGTTCTAATATAACTAAGATACCGCAAAAAAAAAATTTGAATAAGATATAATCAGTGGTGTGCCCGGGAGAGACGTTATATAGGTTATATCCCTTCATTGTCTCATTAAGTCATTGAKCTGTGTCTTCGGTATTAACACCACAATTTATTTAAATGCATTAATATAGGTATTACTTATAACATGCCCCCCGCATTAATAATTCCAGGCCACTGAATACAATCAAATGATTAAACAAAATGAATCAACAGAGTTGATATGGTAAAGTGATTATATTATACATTGATTTCTAGGGGTGACCTAGGAATTTGTTACACGAAATAACAAAAAAAGAAAAACTAGCGCAAAATTAATCAACAGTTATATATTTGGTTCTATAAAGGCATCATCGGTACTGTAGTAAATAAAAATCCATCATAATTACGACAAAAAATGTTTCCTTAATTTGATAAAAAAA